TTTTTCGGCTATATCGTCATGTACATATACAGGCTTCGGCCAAGAGCAATACACAGACTTTCCCATTCACTGATCGCCATTGTGACATGGTATTAGAGCCCGACAATTTCTAATCTTCCTTCTCGTTTGTTTTCTTTCGATGTCTTCTCCTCTCGACACCGAATCTGCTTCGATTTCTACCGAATCTGTTGTTCCCGTCATGTCTTCGACAACGCACAACACGATTTCGAGCTTACCTCGACGAACTATATCTCCATTCGACCTCAGCCCAAGCGACAACCCAGGGCTCGTTCTGTCTCAACCACTCCTTCGTGGTCATAACTACGATGAGTGGTCGATCAATATCCGTCATGCTTTGAAGTCAAGGAAGAATTTTGGTTTTGTGGATGGAAAAATTGTGCCTCCTGATCCGGATTCGGCTGATTACGAGGATTGGGAGACGAATAATTCTCTCATTGTGTCCTGGATTATCTTAAGCGTCGTTTTGGCATGACAACCGCTCCACGCCTTCTTCGTCTTCGTAGCGACCTCGCGAACTGTCGACAGAAGGGTTCGCCGGTGGAATCGTATTTCGGTCGTCTTACCAAACTGTGGGACGATCTTGTTACTCTTCGTCCCTTGAAGGTTTGTCGTTGTGGTCTCTGTAATTGCAATTTAAGTGCTGACTGGGAGAAGCAGAGGCAAGAAGACAGATTGTACGAATTTCTTCTCGGCCTCGATGACAAATACGGGATTGTGCGTTCTAACTTGCTTTCTCGTCAACCTTTGCCGTCGGTTGAAAAGGCGTACATGGTGGTCACTCAGGATGAGGCGTCCAAGGATTCTGTTTCGGTTGACATATCTGATGCTGCAGCATTCTCGGTCAATTTTGCATCGAAACCTCGTGTTTCTACTCCGGTCAAGGACAAGTCCGTGGTCTGTACCAACTGCAATCGTTCGGGACATGCGGCAGATAGTTGTTTTTAGATTCTGGGCTTTCCGGAATGGTGGGGTGATCGTCCCCGAAACCGCACTGGTCATGGTCGCGGTTCACAGCCTTCTGCACGTGGTCGCGGAGCTGTCCGTGTGAATTCTGTTCAGGCCACGACTCCGAGTCTCCTTGGTCCGTCACCATCTGTCTCTTCCGACAATCAACCTCCGTCAGGCCTCAGTGACGATCAGTGGAAAACTTTGGTGTCTCTCCTCAATGCCGGGAAGATTGGTGCTAATGCAAATTCATCGGGTATGTCTTCGTTTGACTCTTGGATCCTCGACACAGGGGCTTTGCATCATCTCACGGGTCGCCTCGAGTTGTTGCAAGATCCCATGTCGGTGACTCCCTGTAGCATTGTTCTTCCAGATGGTCGTCATGCTTTCGCGACTCGTTCTGGATCGGTCTCTTTGTCTTCACATCTCCACTTGTCCGATGTGTTTTACGTGGAGGGGTTGCATGTCAATTTGCTTTCGGTTTCCCAACTCCTTGGTGATGGTGATTACATTGTCCAATTCACTAATGTTATGTGTTCCATTCAGGACCGGGCTACGAAGACGCTGATTGGAGTGGGTGATTTGCGGGACGGGCTCTATTATTTCAAGGGTGTTGAGACTGCAGCGCCTGTACAAGCTAGTGACACTTGCTCTCCGGATTTGTGGCATCGTCGGTTGGGGCATCCTTCATCTTCGGTTTTAGAGCAGATTCCCGGGCTTCGGTTTTGTCGACAAGTTATTTCTTCTTCAGTTGCTTGTGATATTTGTTTTCGTGCGAAACAGACACGTGATTCTTTTTCTTTGAGTTCCAATAAAACTTCCGACGTTTTTCATCTTATTCACTGTGACTTGTGGGGACCGTATCGTACGCCTTCTTTTACCGGTGCTCGTTACTTCCTCACAATTGTTGACGATTTTTCTCGCGGTGTCTGGTTGTATTTATTGACCGATAAGAGCCAAGTCTCAGCTCATTTGATTGTTTTTTTTTGCTATGGTTCATCGGCAATTTGGCAAGCACGTTCGTATCATTCGAACCGACAATGGAACCGAGTTCATGTGCCTTGGTAATTTCCTCCGTGCTCAAGGTATCGTTCATGAAACCTCTTGTGTTGATACTCCTCAGCAAAACGGTCGTGCCGAACGAAAGCATAGGCATATTCTCAACATTGCACGTGCCTTGATGTTCCAGGCGAATTTTCCGATCGAATTTTGGGGAGACTGTATCTTGACCGCGGGTTTCCTCATTAATCGGACTCCGACGAAGCTATTGTCTGGGCGTACTCCTTTCGAAATTATCTACGCTCGCCCGCCCGATTATCATCATCTTCGTTCCGTGGGCTGCCTTTGCTATGCTCATAACAAGGACCATAAAGGCGACAAGTTCGCCTCTCGAAGCATTCGATCTGTGTTTGTTGGTTATCCCTCAGGCAAGAGGGGTTGGCGACTTTATGATCTTGAACAACGTCGATTCTTTGTGTCGCGTGACGTTCGCTTCTGTGAGGATCAGTTTCCATTCCGTGACAATCCAGTTGTACCTTGTTCTATTCCTCTCGGCCTCTCATCCTCCGAGGTTTGGCCGGTTCTCGTCGACGATGACCAGGTTATGGTGTCAGCGTGTCCATCTTCTTCGGTTTCTGCGCCTCTGGACTCTGTTTCGCCTACTTCTCCCATTGATTGCTCACATCCCTCGCCGGTCTTGAATCTCGATGACAGGGGGCTGTTCGGCACAAATTCCTGATGTTGATTCAACGACGGACAACATTTCTGACACAGATGATCTAGGCCGAGGAAAACGCACTAAGCTACCTTCGACACGACTTCGGGGATTTGTCACTAATACAGTCCGCATTTTGAGCTCGCGACCAACCTCTCCTCCTTCCTCTTCAGGTACTCCGTATCCGATTTCTCACTCGGTCAGCTGTGCGAAATTTTCTTCTTCTCACCGTGCTTTCCTAGCTGCCATAACCGACGGTATAGAACCGCGGTCCTATAAGGAGGCTCTTCGGGATCCTCGTTGGAAGGAAGCTATGCAGGCCGAAATTGATGCTTTGGTGAATAACCGGACTTGGACTATCAAATCACTCCCTTCGGGTAAAAAGGCAATTGGCTGTCAGTGGATTTTTAAAATCAAGTATCAATCAGACGGTTCCATCGAACGCTATAAGGCACGTTTGGTTGTTTTGGGAAATCGACAAGTAGATGAGCTAGATTATGGAGAAACTTTTGCTCCCGTGGCCAAGATGGTAACTGTTCGGACTTTCTTAGTCGTGGCGGCTGCTCGACAATGGGAGATTCACCAAATGGATGTTCATAATGCGTTCTTACACGGTGATTTACGCGAGGAGGTGTTCATGCGCATGCCTCCGGGGTTCGACTCTCCCATCTCTGGCCAGGTATGTCACCTCCGGAAGTCATTATACGGATTACGTCAAGCCCCGGGCTGTTGGTTTGAAAAACTTCGTGAAGCATTGCTTCACTATGGGTATGTTCAGTCTCAATCCGATCACTCGCTTTTCACGTTCCGCAAAGGCTCGACTCATCTTTGTGTTCTGGTATACGTTGACGACTTAATCATCTCTGGTAATTCGGCCATCGCTTTGCATGCTTTCAAGGAATATTTGAGCTCTTGTTTTCACATGAAGGACTTGGGAAAGCTCAAATATTTTCTTGGGTTGGAAGTTGCTCGGAATTCCGAAGGAATTTACGTTAGCCAACGGAAATACGCTCTTGATATAATCTCCGAAGTCGGTTTACTTGGCGGAAAACCGGCCCATTTTCCCCTTGATCAAAACCATCGTCTATCGCTGTCCAATAGTCCGTTACTTCTCGATCCCGGTCGTTATCGCCGTTTGGTGGGTCGACTAATTTACCTGACGGTTACTCGCCCCGAACTCACATATTCAGTGCACATCTTGTCTCAGTTCATGCAAAGTCCTCGTCAAGACCATTGGGACGCCGCAAACGTCCCCTATCTTCTGGAAGACCAAGAAACAGTCCACACCGGCATTGTCCTCGGCTAAATCCGAATACAGGGCCATGTGTGTTGCCACCTGTGAATTGTTGTGGATCAAAAGTCTCTTATCGAGTCTTGGCGTTGAACATTCTGACCCGATGTTACTACTGTGTGACAGCCAAGCCGCGATTCACATTGCCTCCAACGACGTGTACCACGAACGGACCAAGCATATTGAGGTAGATTGTCATTTTCTCCGTCACCATCTCGACAACGGGCACATTGTGACACAACACGTTTCAACGCGAGAGCAATTGGCCGACATCTTCACTAAAGCTCTCGGGAAGAAGGAATTTGCTTGGTTTCTTGGCAAGTTGGGTGTGCGAAACTTTCACTCACCAACTTGAGGGGGGGTATTGGACAAGAATATCCTGTAGATATTTGCGTATCTCATCTGATAGAGTTGATATATTTG